CCCACAGAATTTATTTCTGGGTGCATAGTCTTGAGAATCCTGGAGTTTATAGATGTTAATCAAAGGACCCTTTTCTCAGAAGACTCCATGAAAACCCTTAAAACTTTTCCAGCAGGTGATTGGTATCCATTTACAAACCTTTGGGTGGATTTCCACTTATTTGGAAGACTGTCTGGAGGGTGGGAGGAAAGAAGCAGGTCTAAGAGCATTTCCTTTAATTGCCCTTGGGCTTCTCTTGATCAAGTATCTGCTTGATTAACATTACAGTGGCGCCCCGCATAGCGAGGTTAATCCGTTCCTGATTAACCCTCGCTATGCGAAATCGTCGCTAAACGGGTAGGGAAAATGTATCGAAACGCATTAAACTTAGTTTAATGCGTTCCAATACCTTTCTTACTTACCCGTTCAGCGAGGATTCCAATTGCCGTCCGCCATTTTCGCGCCTTCGCTAAGCGAGGGCACGGCATGAAAACGGCTGCCGGCAGCCATTTCCGGGCTTCCGCCGGCCATTTTGGAGCCGCCGAACAGCTGTTCGGCGGCTCCAAAATTGCCGCCGCAATAACCGATCTTCGCAATGCGGGTTTTCCCCATTGCGACGATCGGGTATGTTTCCGTATAGCGATCCCGAAAAAGGGATCGCTATACGGAAACATCGCTATACGGTGCACTCATTAAGCGAGGCACCACTGTATATTCTCTCCTATGCCTAGGGTCATGTCTGATTTAACACATCAGTTTTGTTTTCGTATTATGAATATGGAAAAGGAAAGGCTTTTCTTCTGTGCCTCCCCCTCTTGCATTTTCATGATGTACATTATGAAAATAGATTCTTGTTAAGCCTTACAGAGTTGTAGGAAAAAGACAGGATATCTTTTCAAACAAGTAGATGCCAAAGAGAAGCTAAAACATGCTTCACATCAATAAATACAGTGTTCGGAGACCTACTTCTTCTTCTTTTAAATATTTCACAAAATATTCAGAGTGCTTAATGTGTACCTGTTCCATTGGGAGAGAAGGGGCACTGAGCCCTCAACAACATAACAGTCCTCAGTTTACCTGTTTATCTTTGTGCTCCTAAAGCATAGGGCAAGGATTTGATGGCATCCCTCCACCCTTTTTACTTTTTGTCTTAAAGAGTAAAAGTAGCTGTATTGGCCAAAGATGGCAAAAAATTCCAGACGTTGTATTAGGAGTGTTCTGCTTCAGTGTATCTATAATAAAAAAAGCAAAAATAATAGAAGTTTTGTGGCATCTTAAAGACTAATATTTTTATTTCAATGTGATCCTTCATGGATTACAAACCGTTTCCTCAGATACAAGGTATGACACATCAGAGCAAGTGGATTGTAATCCATGAAGGCCCACACTGAAATAAACTTGTGACGTTTTTAAACTGCCTCCAAACTGTCTGTCTGTCTGTATATCTGAGGGCTAAAATGAAAACCGCAGTGCAACAATTTTTAATGACAAATAGTAGTTAAAATTATCGGTAATTAACATGGTTCAGTAAACCAATAAATACTTAATTGGGTATGAAAATATGTGTATTCAGTTAACAACAGTTCATAAACAGTGTGCCACTAAGTAAGGATAAAATGCAAGCCATGTTTTAATCAAATTTTAGTTATACTTCTGTCTGTTCTTCAGCCAGCATTCTAGTCATGTGGACACACCATTCAAGCATGGGTGAGCAGTGTGGGCCCTGTGGTCCTCAGAGCCCTTCTGCTGGCCTGCGACCTTTCCTGTCTTGCACCTTCCCTTACCGGGAGCCTCTAGGAGCAAGGGTTCACCTTTTGAAATAGACCACTCTCCCCTGTGGAATTTAACATCCAAAAATACTTGTTTTTCAAGACCAAAAGTAGCCACATCTGATTTTATTTTGCTTTCTGCATTTTGTTCTTGCATTTTTGGCAGCTACACAGGGATCCCGAGGGCATAAAACCGGTCCTTGCACCTGCTGAAGTTTCCCTCTCGGGGTTAAAGGAAACAGAGCCAGCAGAAGCCAAGAGAAGAATTGGTGTAACCACTTGACACAGTAATAGTTCATGTTGTAAAGAAGGATCATGGCTTGAAAGTTCCTTATACAGATTCGTACTGAGATTTAAACAAAAGGGGTGGGATGTTTTACTGTCAAAAGGACTTCCAGCAGTGGATGAGAGGAGAGGCTGGAGATCTAGCCACTTTACTAGGTTACAGGTTAGTTTAACTGAACCTTGCTGGTCTCATCAGGAAGAGTTTTACAGTGTTTTTCTCCACTTTGCTCACACTGTTAACTAGAGTCTCTGAGGTGGTTGTGACTTCACAGTTCAGTCCATAAAGATAAGGATATTCATGCACAACGCTCTGAATAATGTACTAAATGGGTAAAAGTTTGAGCAAAGAAATCTTTGCATCAGGAAGGATCTGTGAGAGCATTCCTAAGTGTTGGGATCCCTCCCCTTTCCCCAGAAATAGTTTTAACAAACTCATTAATCTTTTTGTAAGGTAATAATATGTAGAACTCAGAAATCTTACTTTTTGGATGCAGTTCCTGAAAGCTGAGAGTTAACTGTTGAAGGAGGATAATAATTTTATATTATGCATATAATACAGTGGGCTGTACTCAATGAAAGCTGGTGCTTTAATAAATTGATTTATCATTGTGCTATAAAACATCCTAGTTTTCCATGAGACTATTTTAGGGTGGCATCTCAGGAAATTCCATTATTGAGCTTTCTATTACTTGGCTTTTGGTACTCCTTTATAGTATTGAGACCTACAGTTGACCAGGTTCTTGTGTAAAGTTAAATGTTGTTGTAGTCTATGACTTTGATGAAGTTTTTCTGCCTATTGGTGAGTATTTGTGGTCTTCACATGTGGACCTGTGCACCCTGTATCCTCCTGTGTGTCAAGCATATTCCTCAGTGTTTCATAAGTGTAAACTCTGGGGAGTTGTGAAACTGAATACTGTACAAGAGGCATTTATTAGTTAGTACTTGATCTTGTTGCTGCCTGGGAGAAACCTTGTCCCTCCTGGGATTACAGAGAAGAATCACAGTCGGGGGTGGCTGTAGGTAGATTTCAGCACAGTACCTTTATTTGAGTGGCAGCAGTATTTATTTATTTAGAGCGTTTTTATCCCATGTCTCAGCTAAAAAGGCTTCCAAGCAGCCCACACATAGTCAATAAAACAAGACTGTCTGTTACCCACAGGCTTATGATCTAAAAAAGACAGGAGACAAAATTTTTATACCAATGAGTAGTATTAGGAGTTAATCCCCTCCCTCTTGCATCTCTTTTTCATGATTGAATCCCCAGAGCTAATAGATACCTGGTTGCTTTGTATTCTAGGCCTCTTGATTTGAAATTTGCAGCTATTAACTTGCCTTTTTCGTGTAAGCCTTACAGTGATCTTTGGGCAGCACTTTCCATTGCTGAATTGTAGGGAGAGATGCCTCATAGTGCTGCAAGCAAATTTTCTGTGCTTAGTTTCCTCTCCTTATACTCCTCTGTTTGTTTTGAGACCCTCTTTTTGTCCAGTAGGTTGCTTTGCAGTAGGGGGAGAGCCCAGTGGAACTTTCTCGGGATGAGACTACAACTGTTATTCTACAACTCCCATCAGCCACCATAGCCAGTGGTGAAGAATGCCAGGAGTAGCAGTCTAGCAACATCTACCATGTCACACTGTGTCTGCCCCTGTTTCACAGCTGGGGCTGCAAAGCCTTGTGATGTACTGTAGTGTTACAGAGTCCTTTTCCCTGTGTGGATTCTGTGCAGTAGTCTTTGAGCTGCATAACTGGCCCTCCGTGTTAGAGAGGAGTTGTACTATAGAAGCTGTTTGTGTGGGCTCTTGTCTCTCAGTGAGCCGTAAAAGCTCGTCACTCTCTGAGGGTGGAGGAGATAATGACATCCATGAAATTCTGTTCCCACAGTAGGTTAACATGAGATTAGGCTGCAGCAGATGGTTCTCTATTAGGTGCTCCCTGATTGTAAGAGCTAAAACCATTCTTGCATGTAGTCTGTAAGGTCTGTAATGTGGCACTGTGTTGCCTTTTCCAGGACAGTGTTCAGTCACTTGGTTGTAGGCAAAATGCCACTCCGCAGCTGCTTAAGATTGCCTGGAGGGCACTGTTAAGAATGTTGAACTGGAATATGGAGCTAGGCCACTGAACTGCAGTCTTTTTCTTAGAGCATTGTCTTAGCTGGCGCACGTCATAACCTTGGTAAAGATCAACACTGAAGTGAGACAGGTTAGCATTTCCTCGTATTTGTTTTATACTGTGCGTCATGGAACACTCTGCCTTGTGAAAATGTGAGTTGGACTGTTCTTGGCTTTTAGCTTCCTTCTGGCAAGACTTGTGTGCATGTGGTTGAGGCAAACATAGCTCTTAATGAAACGCTGAGCTGCCTGTCTTGAGACAGAATCTTCTGTTAAGCAGCTTATGAAAGGTAATAGGTTTCTTAGGGTTGCCTCCGGGTGCACTAAAGCAGCAGCCCCCAGCCTTTTTCGGGTTTGGCAACATGCCCCTCTGCGAGCGTGACACGCCCATTGTGCGTGCATGGGGGGGGCGGAGATCCATGTCCGCAGCCCAATTCAAGGAAGCCCATAGACTGTTACTGGACCATGGACCGGGGGTTGGGGACCCCTGCACTAAAGGACGTGCTTGCAACCCTAAAACCTAGATTACACTAGATTATGATAGACATTGTTGAGACAGGGCTAGCTTTTGCTTGCAGGGGTAGTGATTGGAGGTACGTGTGATGCAGAAACCCAGGGACCTCAGCCACAGGCAGGGCCCTAAGCATCACATGATGAGAGCTGGCCTAGATTAGTCAAAATGAGAGCATTCATAGTACAGGAGGGTTGTTGATTCACCGTATATCTAAAACTGTTCCAGAACAGCTTGGCTTTAAAAACAACCAAACTTAAATATGGTAGCTGTGTTGAGTCCTCTACACCCATCTTCTTTAGTGATCTCTGTGTAGCTCTTTCTAAGTGTGGATATTTTCTTTTCTTTTAGGTTTTCCGTTCGAATCCACGCCACACATTTATGGCGATTCTGAGAGTCAGGGCAGATTTCTGCCGGGCCCAGCACAGCAACCTGGCTGAGAAGTGAGCTGGGGCCCAGGGTCCTGCGTGCCATAACTGTACTTTGCCTTGAAGACTCCAGACACCAACACATAAGCCTCAAATATATGGGGTTATCTTCTGCAAATTGGAAACCTCTTCCTTTTAGTGACGCTAGAGAAGCAAAGCCTGGCTGAACCCAAGTGGAGAGAACACCTGTCCTGACATTTTCTTTGTGCCTCACCAGTGCCTAAATGTAGTAAAGGCTGCCTAGTTTTTTGCATGTAGTAGGAGACTGTAGAAGGAGCACCACCTGCAGTGACTGAGGCTGAAGCTGAATTCCAGCAGATGCTCAAGAAAAGCTGCTTTTTCCTGAAGTGAAGAATCATCTTGAAGAACAAAACAAGGAAAGCGCTGATCGATCCCTGGACACTTTCGTGGTCTCTCTCTCTTTTTTTTTTAATGTTTTCTGCTGTGAAACATTGCAAGATTTGATTTTTTTCCCCCTACACATTTCCCCTCCCTTGCCACTATGAACCGTCCCGCTCCAGTGGAGATTACTTACGAAAGTATGCGCTTCCTGATCACCCACAACCCAACCAATGCAACCCTCACTAAATTCACAGAGGTAAGAGGAGTGTCTGCTGACACAGCCTGAGGTTGGGCTTTTTTTTTTTTTTTGAACTCTATTCTGAGGAATCCCAGAGCAGGGGGTGGACAGGAGGGTTTTTCCTAAGTTTACCAAGGGAAGGGAACAGATCAACCATAGTGGGTAAATGTCACTGTGACTGTAATTCCAACAGATGATAAACTAGAAGACAGATTGCTCAAACACTGCCCATCTGCTGTGACTGCATGCAAACACAGGGGTTTGGCAGGTGAATTGCAAAGAACATTCTAAGTGAGGCTTGGGGTCCCGGGGGGGGGTCTGGCCAACGCCTTTTATTGAAAGGAGAGCTCTAGAACCATCACCAAGAAGCCTCTGCAATCCCATGGATTCTGCAGCATAAGAGTAGTGGCAATCCAAATCTGGTTTTGCTTCATTGTTTAGACTTTTATTGCATGTCTTTGGGTTGGGAGGTGGAGGGAAAGAGAGGGGAAGTGAAATACAGGACATAATACCAAAAGTTAGGGAATGGGAAAGGAACAAAAAAGTAGGCCACATGTATAACTACGATGTCTCCATTAGACTAGTCTCAAGATGGACATTATGGGTAGAATAATAAGTAGGTGTTGCAGGTATTAGATTGTTCCTTGCAGTACATTCTGGAAGCAAGAAGAAAAATGTCTGCTGTCTTTCCTGGATGCTGGGTGCAGTTTAGAATGTCTATCTGTTGCCTTGGGCAAAGCATTTAGGTTCATGAGTCACCACAGAGCAGAAGTGCAAAGCAACATGACATGTTTGGTTTTTGTATACAAAGCTGGACGGAGAGTTTGCAAGTTGTGATATGTAGAAATGTGGATTGAAGTCAATTTATAAGTGTTACCTAGTGATTGGGGGGTCATAAAGCCCTCAGGCTACACTTTCTATTTGTGCTTTCTGTCGCACACAGCTAAATGCAGTCACATGAAATTCATATTCTTGAAAATTATTATAGATTAAAGGGATGGGAATGCCAGTTGTACTGCCAGATGCTAAAAAAAAAAAGTCTCACCCAGTTTAGATATTTAACGATGCCATGATAAAATTGTTCAGTATTTTTCAACTTTGAAATTAATGGAATTCTCTCGCCCCCTCTGATGGTTTGCTCCCAAAAAGCTATTATTGATCTGTTTGGGCCCAGTGTCCACAGTGGAAAGTCTGTGTGGAATAGTACTGTGGATGACACTGTAATGAAGGGCATTTTCTTCCTGACCTCTACGGTCTCTACCCACTGTATACACAATCCTAGTGTTCACAAAATTGACCTAGTTTCCTACCCTGTCTTTGTATATCCTGCAGTTGCCCCTGCATTCTCCTACTGATCACTAAGTCTGTGCTGTTTGGTGGGATCTTGCCCTATAGCTGCCAGTTCAGGCAGCGGAAACTCACTAGGGAAGTGAAAATTGGTAAAGCCACTCCTTAAATATCTCATTCATCTTGAAAACCCTGCCAGGGTCACCATTGGTTCCAACTTGATGACATACTAACAACAAGAAGGAGGTGATAACGCCAATTGTTCCTGTATGTCTTATTTATGCTCAGGATGCTTGACAGTGGTTATGTTTCCCTTCCTCATTTAAAACCCATTCTTCAATATGATTTCCTTTATACAGCTAATAAATCTTATCAGTCCATTTCTTTGCCCATGCTTAGGGTGCAAAGGAAGAAACAGTAAGACAACTGTACTGATTAAATTAGTGTAATTTGTGGGCTTCGGTTAAATCTAATTCAGTGCAGCTAAGGCAATTATTTTTGTTGGGGTTTCTTTGAATAATTTTTGTAGACCATTAGACCTCCTCCCCCAGCACCCAAGAGGAAAAGTAGTGGAGGATTCTCATTTTCTTTTTTATCAGCTTGCCTTCCGTTTAAGCTCCAGAGTGGTGTTCTTGTCTTGGCTTATGTTTTTCCTACACAGTTAATTGCATCTGGTTGTCTTTGTATCTGCATCTCAGTCCCAGGTGGAATAGCCAATCCTGCAAACAGTGTTGCTTTGTTCCTTGAAATGGAGCCTTTTGCTTCTGGAAGGGGTCAGTGGAGTCCTCCTTGTGCACATAGGAAATCCACTATCCTAATGATTGTTTTGACTTGTTGCTGGCTACCTGAGACCTATATGGGCATTCTCATAGGTCCAGAGGAAAACATTTGTGACATGTTTTGACAGACAGGCATGCATCAGCTAACTGAAGTAGGTGGTTGTCCTCTCTCCCATCCCATCCTTGATGCTTTATCAGGTCTTGCTTTCTTTCAGCCTTGGTGGTCTTTTTTTTGCCAAGAAATACGCTTCCTTTGTGTATTGTGGAGCTTTTAGTGTAGAAGTGCTTAAAGCTAGTTAAATAGTGGTATCAGGAAGCCAGGGAGAGAGAAATAAGCTTTCTGTAGCTCCCAAGGTGGTTTTTAGAGCTCTGTGAAAGCACACCTACAGTGGTGCCTCGACTTACAAAATTAATCCGTATTGGACTGGTGGCTGTAACTCGAAAATTTTGTAAGTCGAAGCACCATTTCCCATAGGAATGCATTGAAAACCGTTTAATCCGTTCTGGCCAAAGGGGGGGGAAAAATCCCGGGCTTCCAAAGCTGTGCCTGCTGCCCTCTGTCTCCTGGCCCCGCTGCCCACTGCCTCCGCACCGGGTGCTGGCTTCCTGACCGCCACACTGGGTGCCAGCTTCCTGGGCTTCCAAAGCACCGGCATGGTAGTCGGGGCAGTGTTGGAACCCCAGGAGGCTGAGCCTCCCTTTTCCTAACCATTGGAGTGAAGAAGCAGCGTCTTTGCCACCAACAGTTTGAATTCCCCACCTCCCCCCTCCCAGCCTTTTTCTGTTTGTAACTGGAAGCTCCAGCCGCAAGTCAAAGCAAAATTTTGCAGCTGGAGTTTTTCGTAACTTGAAATTTTGGTAAGCAGGGATGTTTGTAAGTTGAGCCCCCACTGTACCTCCGACTCAGATCCTCTTGACTGCAGGGTTTTTTAAAAATGAAACTACAAAGCAGGCCAGTAGGATAGTTCAAGGTGTGCAGACTGCAGCCCCGGGACTGTAAATAATTCCTGAAGGCTATCTTTCTGGCCCTTGTTTTTATTGGACATCCTACACCAAAAATATCTTTTCTGTAAAAAATAAGTAAACTGTGATTTCTCAAAACCTCCAGGCGCACATTTCAAATGGGCTACAAGGCCCCCTGCAGTGTTTAATATTCAAAACCCTTCCAAGCCTTCTGAAGTTCTCTGATTGGAAAAAGGGGAGGTCAGAGAGCCAATTTAATTTTGATTCTACTTTGACATGTTCTGTCTCTTGTGTTTGGGCATAGGAAAATGTGAATTAACTTTCCTTTTTAAAATTTTTTGTTTTGCTTGTTACGGGATGGTTCAGGGCTCGTGTGCAACTTATTAAGGACAGTTGCCACAATTTGGTACCCTAATAAAAGCATTGCTTTATCAAGTCTGCATCTGTTGGCAGGTCCCATTCTTAAGTGTTTTCTTCTTTAGTGCACGCACACACACACATACACACGTTGTTCTATGTAGTGGCACTCTCTGTTGCTGCCGTTGCATCAGTAAAAGTGCCACTCCCTCTGGAGGCTGCTTTCAGTGTCTTCCTCCTGGTATCAGTGGCTGGTAAAGCTTTGTATGCATCTGAAAGAAGAGAGGGTTTTTTCCCCCCTTTTGCTCTTGGATGTCCACTTGATATGTTTTCTGCTTGTTTCCAAAGGAGCTGAAGAAGTATGGAGTGACAACCTTGGTGCGAGTCTGTGATGCTACCTATGATAAAGCACCAGTTGAGAAAGAAGGAATCCAAGTCCTAGTGAGTATTTTTCAAGATCTGAGAAGGAAACAGCATTGTTCTTTTGAGCCATCGTGTGGCTTTCTCATGTCACTACAAAGCGTTTTCCCCAGTCTGTCTTGTGCTTGTGAATGGCGGCCTGCCTTAGAGTCTCATCTACTAGGCAGTGTGTTCCACAGTGCAACTGCTAGTGAGGCGGGAATAATTTGGAAGATGAGCTCTAGAGGTGGCATATTCAGAAAAGGAAATTCACTTTGGGTGAACGTAGTAAGCGGGGTTGGGGTTGTATTGGGTATTGCATTGGTAATAATTAGGTGAACAGACAGCTGTCACTCGTTTCTGTCTCAGTGGTATTATTAGTGGAATCTAAAGAAGTCAGAAAGTTTTAAGTCGAAGCAGCTGCTTATACAAAACAGATCTTCAAATGATCTTATGTTATTTGCTCAGCCCTCCAGTGAAGGGAACACTGTCTGGTTTTAGCACTCCAGGGACAGATGTCTTGCCCGTGATCATTGGCAGGATCTTGTGACTGATAGCTCCTACCAACACAGATTCCCTTCTCGTGCACAATTTCTGGTCAGATGACAGGTCACCAGTTGAGCAATGAACTGGCATATGACCACTTCATGAGAAAGGGGATGGGGGAAGTTGCCGTTTTCCTGGTACTCAGCCTGCTGACACTTTGAGGCCGATAACTTGAGCCTTTATGTCTGCAGGAGAGGTTCTGCAAGAGAGGCACCCTTCCTCTGGTTCTTTCTGGGCATTTCTTGCTCAGCAAATTCAGAGTTGTGAATCCTTTTTGTTTGTTTCTTTTCTTTCTTGGTGTGAAAGAAGGCTTGCCAGGAACGTTAGCTTTGATTCATGCAGTTTCAAATAGAATGACATGCCTTTATATTCCTCATTCTGTCGTCTTCTCCACTTCTTCCTTCCCCTGCCCTTAAACAGGCAACACATCAGCCCCCCTCTGAGCAGTCTCTAACCCAGCTTCTGTAGCCGTGTGAGCAAGATGTGCGCTCCACAGGTGCCGCAGGGTGTTCTTAAATTGCTGCCGCCACCACGGAAGGGTGTGCAAAGAGAATAAGCTCTTTCCCAGGTTAGTCCCTGGGTAAAGGAGCCCACTCCCCTGTTGGCTGCTGCCTTTTCTCCTCCGACGGCCCTCTCTTGACCCCATTGAGAAATGTGGCTTAATGACTCTCATCAGGCTGGTAAAGTTACATTGCCGGGATCTAAGCCTGGGTGCTTGCAGCAAAATCTTGACCATTACAAGCAGGGCAGAATGCACCTTCTCTGTCCCAGTTCTGTCCTTGTATAGTTAAATATTAGGGAGAGGCATGACAATCTAATTCTTTTCTTTCCATCTGGTAATTTTCCTGGTACAGTCTAGTCTCTTGTAGGAAATGTGCATGAAGACTGGGGAAACCCAGGTTCAGATACAGGTGAACAGTCTGGCCAGTTTCACTCTGTGGTTTGGGGGATAAAATAATAGGGAGAATAATGTATCTACACTTGTTTGAACTTCTGAGAGAGGAGATAATGTTCACCTCCAACTGAAAATTATTTAAAGGTCATCGTATTGTCCTTCTATACTTCACATGTAGCAGGGTTTGGGAGACTGGGGATACTCAAGCATGGTAGCCCCTTATTCTACCCTGATGAAAGAGGGCTTCAATATTAGATGTAACCTGTTTGAGCTACTAATGTTGGTAAACAAGCATATGGAATAAAGAGATTAGCTGTAAGAAAAAGCAAGGGGTGGGGATAGAGGGGGGTTGGCACTAGTCCATACCAGCTGCTGAAATTTCAAAGGTTCATGTGTCTTTCAAAAATAGCTCCTGTTTGAACAGCAGGCATGGCTTAAGATAAGCAGCAGGAAAGACCTGGTTGAATTATTCTCTGAAAATGCTTTGGGTATCTCTACCGCATTCCCTGACTTATGGGCTCTGTGTTAGTCCTATGGGCTTGTAAACTAATTGGGTCCTGATGGGCAGTGACCGAGAGCAGAGTCCAAATCAAATGAAGAACTGGATTCGATTTGGGAGATCAAATGATTTTGATGTCCCGGATGAATCCTCGTTCAGTCTGCAAAATGCGTAAAATGGAATAAATAGTGCCTTGACGCAAAAGCAGATAAAGAAGCAGAAATCAAATGAATGTTCTGTATCAGTATTTATAACCAAGTGGCAATGAATGCAGCTTCTGTCTCTCTGGGCTGTTTTGGGGTTTGCCGGACTAAAGGCCTTGTTTTATAAGCTGTCAAGTTTTCTAGGGGTGTTAAAAGATACTCAACACTGGGCTGGACGAGGTTAAATTGAACTAAGCTTGTCGCAGGAACCTTCATTTTGGTGGCTTTACTGCTGAACATAAGCTTTTGCACTTCACTTTATCTGCAGGTTGGAAGTCCCAACTGTTGCTGGCATCTGGTCTGATAAGCTGCGGTCGTGGCAGCCTTTACAGAGTTCTTAATGTGCATATATTTTTTTCTTTTTCTTTTTGCAATCCGAGCACTTTAATTGTAGTACATTGAGGTCTATTCCAGGAACTGTGATCTGCTGACATTATCACCCAGATAACATGGTGTTCTGTTCAAGGGACTGCACTGGAACCATCTCTGCAGAGAAGGGGATTGGAAGCTTTTATTCTCCCCCCCCCCCCCCCGGCTGTCCATGGATCATCTCTCATGGTGTTCAGCAGAATATATGCTCTGCTTTTCTGTCTTTTTTCCTGTCATTCCCTGGCTTCTTTGACTCGGCCACTTGTGCCCATCTCTCAATAACTTGTTTCATCTAAAGCGCTGGTTCTTAACCTTGGGTTACTCAGGAGTTTTGGACTGCAACTCCCAGAAGCCTTCACCACCAGCTGTCCTGACTGGGGTTTCTGGGAGTTGCAGTTCAAAAGCATCCAAGTAACAAAGCTTAAGAACCACTGACAAACTAGATGCTTTCACTTGCTGGGCTGCTTCCTCAATCTTCACCATTGGGGTGGGGGAAACTTCTCTACCGGGGAGAACAGCAATACTATCTGGGGCTGGAGAGTCATGGGTGCAATTCTATACCTTTCTTGCCACAGTAGGAGTATTGAAAAGTCAGAGATTCCAGCAAGACTGCTGGTGTCAAAAAAAAAATATCAACCTTCATGCTATAGTTTTGGACCTGTTAGTTCTTCTCTTGGTGTGACTGAGAAACCAAGACAAGGTACCATGGCTTAAGGTTAGCTTTTGAATCTTGGCTTGTTTGGATGGCAACAGCTATAGCTTCTAGCCTGGACATGTTGGGAAGCTCTAGGTAACCATGCCTTTTGGAGTTGTTTTTCCTCATGTTTTTCCTTGTTTTCCTTCTGCTATGGAACAGGAGAGGTGTGTGCAGGAGCATGATGCTTGTCCATGTCCTGACTTATTTAGGCAGGATTTCATGATTTTAAAAAGTCTGTTTCAGTTGATATGAGGCCAAACCATGGTTTGTCACTGGGCATCTGGGAATGTCAAGGTCTCCTGTGCTTTCTGTAATCATTTAGGGTCACTGTGACAGTACATGGCCCCAGTGGTGACAGACCAGGTATATTGCATGCAGTTTGATGGGGTTTTTTTTGTTTGTTTGTTTTAAGTTGTGATGTGCTGGGCCTTGGTTTGAAACAGTACCACTTTGAAAGACCTTAGTCAAATTCAGACGCGTTGCTTCCTTAGCCCAACTTGCTTCATGGGGTGATCAGCTGGGTAAATGAATTTAAAAAAGTAAGCCACTTAAAGTGCGAAACAGTTCATTCTATTTTCCTGGTCAAGATAGTGTGTCTGTGTATCTCTGTGTCTGTATATTTATTTACACACATGCACACACAGAGAGCATTTATAATGTGCCTACTAAGCTAAATATTTGTTACCTTTATATTTTTGGTTGCTCAGTATCAAATATAGGCAATGTACAGTATTTCTATACTGTATTTTCCACAGTGCATTGTCTTCACAGCAGTTCATACAAGAAATGCACTGCCAGTTCATACCATAGTCTCTCAAGACTGAAGGATGCCTATGAGATGTATATAATAACACTGCAATTCATGCAAAAATCTCAGATTGAAATCTGTCTGCTCAGTTCGATTTTATACCTCTAAAATACCAAGTGATTTGTTATAACCAAAACTGAACTAATTATTAAAGGTGTCTAATGTTGTTTTAAAGACATATGTTAATTTTTTTTTTATTTCTCCACCTCCTGGCTTATATGATAATTAAATAAGAATCTGTAGTTTCTACAAAATCCAGTTAGCTGTTTCACACATTCAGTAAATCACCTGTTCACACTGCACTGGGTTAATTTGAAAGGTTCTAGTTATACATGTTGCTCCAGGCAAATTTCTCTACATCTACCAAGTCATTTTTTTTTTTAAAAAAAATCCTTTTACAGTATTGGAGTAATCTTTCATCCATTGAATAATGTTTTGGTCCACATCCTGCCCATCTTTTGATCAAACTCGCCTTTCCAGTCGGTTGTTGTCTCCTTGTGGTCCCTCACACCTGTCTAGCACTATGTTGTCAAAATCATCTACCTTCCATCTCTGTGATTGCTTAACACCTCTCTTTAATTCGCCACATTGGGTTTGTATGCCCCCAGATGCAGTGCCAGGTTTGTCCAGAGCTCTCTGTGACCATATGCTCAGCATGTCTCTTCTTTGATATCCGTATCCACTCCTTCATGCTCCACTCTAGGTGGTCTCCTCTCTGAAAATATCTGGCACATTCTTTTCCCCTTCTCCTTCATGTGAATGGAACTGCCTCCCAGAGAACACCCTACCTCTCTTAATGAGTTTCAGATCCCTGCTCAGACCCCACCTTTTCCTTGAACCTTTCACTTACTTTTTATGTCCTTGTATAGCTCATCCTAAGCATGTGCAAAAAAGCTGAAGGCTACTTCCTTGTTTCCTTTGGTATCCGCTTGCTTCTACCACCTTGGTTTTCCCTGTGTTGAATGTTCATCTTGAATTTTTTGTGGGTCAGGGACCTGATCTCTTCTAGTCTGTGAATATTCTGATGCTGCTGTGTATTTTATCGTAAACATATTATTCTCTGCCAATGCTTATATTGTATTCGGTTGGTATATTTAGATTCAATTATAAAGGACTCTTTTAGTGTAAACAGCTTCAAGAACTTTGGTTAACTGACAGCATAAAAATGTTATAAAATAAAGTCTCTGTCCCATAGCATCTTCTGCATGAAGCCTGTTACTTTGCCACTGAATAATTGTGGGCATCTTTATTTCTTTATTCAGTCCCCCCAGTTGCTGTAAGAAGCCATTAGTTCTCTTGTATTTTGTAGTCAGAATGCAAAGCGGTAAGAAAGGGAGGGCAGATGTTTCTGCTTGAAAGGATGGGATAGTTAACAAGCTTGGTCGGAAACAAAGTGGGAAGGCAGGAAGGCGTCCCTCCCGATCTGAGTACAGAGTGGAAGTAACCTGCTCTTTCCCCCTCTTCCAAAGGACTGGCCATTCGATGATGGTGCACCACCACCAAGCGAGATTGTGGATGACTGGCTGAACCTGTTGAAAACCAAATTCCGCGAAGAACCCGGCTGCTGTGTCGCTGTACACTGTGTTGCAGGGCTAGGAAGGTAAATGTCCTGCTCCCTTAATGGAGAAGTGGATTTCGGCTTCGTGGACCAGTTTCTTTCAGTTGAACCTTCAGTGCTTTCAGGGTCTGTAGCGCAAGGCCTGGCTGTCCGTTTGGAAGCTGACGCATTTGCTCTGGACCCGGCCTCCCTAGCAGTTATTTGCCCAGACCTCTGACTCCTTAGGGGTCATTTTGTAAAGCTAAAGATCAGCTGTTGGTCCCCTGGGTTCATTCTGTGTCGGGCCTAAGTCCCCTATTACATGATAGTTAAAGGGCTTGACAGCGAGGTATCCGGTGCTCCTCGGGTAACAACAGGACATATACTGACCGTCACTCACCTTGTAGGTTCATTCTTGAGCCTTCATTCTCTTCCCTGTATGGGCGCAGTGGTGAAATGATAAAAGGGTCAATCTGTGGAGCGGGGATCCTAATCTGCATTTGTGCCATGAGCCTGGGGCTATTGTGTGCTCTTCTCCTGGATGATTTGACAGCTTGATGGATGTTCATTCTCTCCTGGGTGCCCCTTTTATGTTCCGTATCATGACAACTTGACACTCCTCTCTGAATGGTCATTTTCCTTGCTTTCCTGGTCATGCTCAGTGTGGTAAAAGAAGGCATTGCCCAAAACTGGGTGCCGTGATCATCTCTATAGTGTTCACAGCCAGCACTGTAGCATTTAATTGATAGACTATACACTAGTTAATCAAAGGTTTTTTCTGCTAAAAAGGAGTCTCCCCCCCTCCCCATAATTGGGAAAATGCTTTATTTAAAAACCCCAGCTGACAAAAACTAGAAGACAGATGACATTTTGTCTCAGTCGTTTATGACAGACTTTCCCAGAATATGTGCAAATACAGCTTGGTGTCTCTATATTGGGCACTCACAGGGGCCAGTGATTGAGTGCCCCATGTAGGACTGCTGCAATTAAGCAGGGCAGGCTAATGTTATTTTGTGACTAGAAGCGTTCTTGGGCTCATGGCTCCTTTAATTGGATCTAGTTTTGAGGGGTTTGCTGGACCAAGTTTAAATCTGCATTGATCTTCTTTCTCCTTCCAGAGCCCCAGTTCTGGTTGCCCTCGCACTCATAGAATGTGGAATGAAGTATGAGGATGCTGTGCAGTTTATCAGACAGTAAGTGAAAGAGCTTAATTCCCGGGTGCCTGTCCTCATTCTCTGCCTTTTTCTTTTCTTTTCCTTTGCGTCGAGCAATCCTTTTCTTATCCCCAGTGCCTCACAGAGTCATTGAACAGCTGATAATGGGTCTCTGTTTCAGGTCTAGGCTTTGACCTTCTCTTCTTTTGGATGGCGATTGGAAAGAAATGAGCCCTAGCATATGACACCCCCTTAGGAGCAAGAAGGCTTAATTAGCAAACAACTCTAGAATTGACTTGATCCTCTTGCTTTGTATTCAGAAAGTGAAGAATCCTGTTGCAAATCTGAAATAAAGGCAGACTGTCTTGGTTGGCCATGTCAGTTCCCTCCACTGTTGTGAGGCACTGCTTTCCTACTCCTGGCTGGGTCGATAGGAGGCAGCCTTTCCAAAAGAATCCAGAGTTGCTGATCATCTTCCTGCTATTAACAGACGAAGCTGCTCTTTGCTCACACAACCCGTTTGCCTTTTAACACTGCATTGGAAACTTCATGTGCTGCGTAAAGCCTGATGGATTCACCTAGGCATAGTCATGCTTTCTTGTGTAGTGTTTACATTTGCTACACTTTTGTTCCATCTCTCTTCTAAGAGCTCAGAGCAGCATACAGGTTCCCCTTAGGGCCCCCCAGCCCCTGCCATTTTGTCAACGGGTTTATGCCAGTCCTGCACTCATGACCAAATTCTTGGTCAAGCAGAGGTTAGAAAGCAGCTCGGGAGATTGAGGCTCAAGTGCCCGAATGAATATAATGTCCACATTATATGGACTGTTGTCCTGAGGATAAAAATAGGGACAAAGAAAGCCAGAGACAGAAATATAGGTTACCAGTTAATTAACAATAAGCAAATAATGCCCTTCCCTCAGACACACATTACTGACCATCAAACTAAGCAGGGTGGATGGCGGTTGAATTTTGTGAGCCAAGGCTTGAAAAACTCATTCTTTCTTTATGCTTTGGACTGCGGCTTGCATCCGCCCCACCCTGGTGGCCAGTTGTCCACAATTCTGGGAGTTGCAGCTCAAAATACCCCAGAAGGTGCCGCCATGTGAGCGTTGCTTAGAAAGGGTGTCATAGACCTAATCCCATGAATGTGCTTCTGTTTCAGGAAGAGGAGGGGAGCATTCAACTCCAAACAGCTGCTCTACCTTGAGAAATACCGGCCGAAGATGCGGTTACGCTTCAGAGACGCCAACGGCCACTGCATTGTGCAGTAAGAAACGGGAAGCCCTCCGTGAAGTCTTGACGCTATCATGGCTGTCTTTGTGGACTTGTGGAACCTGGAAATGTAATTCTGGAATTGAATGACATCCTTTCCGTAGTGGAGTCGGTGCTCCTCAGCCTTTGTCCTAATGATGATGATTGTGATAAAAAGTAATAATAAAATTAAAACAAACCATTTCAGTGAAGGATTGTCTTCTCATGTTGCAATCTGATCATCTGCCAAGAGATGAGCATTCCTTGAACCTTCTGTATTTTTAACTTTTTTGAAAAGAAATGAATAAATAAAATCAATTCTATGTTTTAAGGAAAAACCAGCGTATCGGGCTGTGTAGAAACTGTAATCTTGGAGCAGGGCAAGGTCCCTAAGTTAGGACCTGAAGGGTGTCCTTCAGTTTTGTAATAGTGATTCTGTTTCCTTTTTGCTGAAAGCTGGCAGACAGAATTCATGTGGCGTCTTTGTAGCTGGAAGTGAGTGGTTGGCAGCCTTAAACCCAGTGAGGTGCTCTTAGAAATAGTGGTGCCTGTATGTCTAGTCTGCAGCTGACACGATGTGCACAACAGTTAGGGAGAGCTGTTGTTAGCAAACCTGACATGCAGTACAAAAGTCTTTTTTTTTTGGTTAAAAATAATAAGGTGGTATTTTCAAGCATTTTATTTTTTTGGTTGACCTGTGGGGCTCCTTTTCTGACTCTGGAGTCCCCAGCTGTAATTCTGAGGATCTTGGTTTGTTTAGGAGTGGAATTTCAACCCTCTTTGTATACCTGTCCAAATGACATGGTGGCAATGTGCAAATTTATGGTTTTGAATGCAACTCCCAGAACCGATAGACCGCATAACACAAATCCGTACATCTCGAGTAGTGGGACTTTTGGATAATAATGATCTTTAGTGCTGAAATATTGCCTACGGATACGGTTCTCTAAAGAATTTGGATTAGAAGCTAGCTCCCTACAAAGTGGGCAGAAACGCACTCGTGTCAAGACATGCATGTTTGACTAAGGTAGCAAAAATGTCTCCTGTCATGAAGGCTGGATGGAAAGTTCGTGTCTGGATGATCTTTTGCCCCTCTGAAAAGAATACACTTGAATGAAGTCTAGTTTGAACATGGCTTTTGTGCCCACCGGCATCTGTGGGCGTATTTTCGGACTAGCCTCCCGTATGTCTAGCTCATCTGAATCACCAACTGCCTTGTTTCTGATTTTTCACCAGGTTCTTAAGGGAGACTTGCAGGTTCCACACTGCCAGTGCCTCGTAGACACGTATGTTGTCCGAGAGGTGTAACATATGGGGAACTATGCTGAGTTTCGATTAGGAAAGGGCAGGAAGACTTTGCGTATCGAGTAGCTGGCTTTAGCTGACTTCTTTACCAAACATCATCTGCCAGGCTGGGCTCACAGTGGCAGTGCCGAGGGAAGTAATGTCCTCCTTCCCATGCAGATTTTTGTTTTCAAAAACCCGTTTGGCCTTTTTGTCTTCTGTGCTGCATCCAAGGCCATCGTAAGTTCCTCCCACCAGCTTTCTCTGCAGGTTTAGAAAAGACCTTGCAACTCTCTTGAACAGGGTAGCTTATTGAGATTGTGTTTCATCAACCAACATAGTCCCTTTAAATATTTTGAATACAGAAAGCAAATTATGTTTCTCAAAGCATTTGTGCGGACCTAAAATTCTGGTGGTCCTGTAACAGTCCATATATATGTGATTTGCTTATACTGTACTTTTAATCGTGTTTTCTCAAAAGCAGGCTCCACTGACTTCAGTGAGACTTACTCCCTGGCACATCTATGTAAGATTGCAGCCCTAGCAGGTTTAAGTCTGTAAAACCTAAGCCACAAGTGCTACGTTTTTTCCAAAATACAACACACACACTTGATTTTCTTCAACATTGTAGCTGAGCGTGCAAATGTTCAAAGTGGCACAGCTATCGTGGTAACAGAAGGATGCCTTTATAGAAATACAATTCTAAGTCGAAAATGCTGAAAATACCAGATTCATGTGTTCTTTTCCTTTGTCCTCCCCGGTTGCCTCCAAGTATGCACAAAGGCACATATTGTTCTTGTTAATTTTTATGAAAATTCCAAGGTTTGTTTTTCTTCCAGGAAAAGAAAAACTACAACTTAATAATGTTGTAGTCAAATAAAACCAGCCCCAAATTTGCAGAAGAAACAGACCTTTCCCCCCCTCTATGTATAGTTTTGTTTCTCCCCCCTTTAGTTTCACTTTGATGTATTATGGTGTACTAGTGTGTATTGCAACCTTTACAGAATGGAGAAAATGGGGCGGTTAAGCACACAGGATTAGAAGTGCTAGTGCTTCATTGTGAGTCCAGGCTTGACAGGCACAGTTTTGGTTCAGCACTTGGAACACAGTGCAATAAAGTTCTTACTGTACAATGTCTCTTCCATGGTTCTCGGTGAATTATTTACCACTAGTTCTGGTGTGTCTAATCAAGGAAAGAAGATGAAGCCTCTCTTCTGAAAGGACCACTGGGATTCCGGGAAATAAACCAGACTCATACATGGCCAAACTTCTCTGTTGACCCCGTTGATAAGGTACCTGGGTGTACGTAAAGGGCGTGTACTCAAACCAAAATTGATCTAGCGAGTATTTCTGTTTTGTGTTGAGGTATCTGGGAAACAAAGGTCAACCAGCAAGGTCCATTGTACTTTTCTCTTTTCAACTCCCAGGGTTTGGTCCAGTGCAGGTGCTGGCTGGAGGCTGGCCCAAAGGGTTCGTAGTACAGGGGACTAGTGAGATAGAGTTACATGTGATGAAGTGGGCAGGTTGGGGAAATCTGAGCTTCAGTTATGAGCTCATGTTACTTGAGCTGTCAGTCTAGCTTATAGAGTCATAGAGTTGGAAGAGACCATTGAGGCCATCCAGTCCAACCCTCCCCCCCCGCCATGCGGGAACCTCCATCGAAATACTCCCAACAGATAGCTACCCAGCCTCTGCTTAAAAACCTCCAAAATAGGAGACTCCACCACCCTTCGAGGCAGCCTATTCCACTGCCAGACAGCTCTGGAAGTTCTTCCTAATGTCCAGATGGAATCTCTTTTCCTGTAATTTGGGGGTTCTTGAGATGGGATAACCTCATGGTTATTGCTGAGCTTCCTGAAAGCATACACAGGTGACAGTGATAAGGTTTGTTGTCTACTGAGCTGTAGGATTATCCTGATTTTTACCCATAACGTGAAGAATAGTAGCCATTACACATGCCAGCATTCACAAGACAATTGCTTTGCTCTTACTGTTTTCCTATAACGAAGAAGGCTTCTTCTCAATTAGAACACTAGTACTCAGCTTGACTTCTGATTGACTCTCTAAAGGAAGCCACAGAGCTGAGTGGGGTTGGTTTATGGGCACCTAGTTACCTCTGCCTCTATCACATATTTTCGGCTAGTGCTCATGGCATTTTCAGGCCATTGGTTATCCTCGGGGGCAATGGGGAATTCTCATGCCTTGCCATGTGAATAAGCTGTAACGAAGCCTGAGCACGTATGGTCTGCTCTTTGAACAAAGGAGACGAACAGCATCTGCTTCTAAAGAAATGTCAGTCCTTTGACATACAAGTGTGGAACTTTAAACTACAGCAGTAGTTCGGATTGGGCGAAAAAACATGATAAATGCTGAATCGATCAAAAACTGGGAAGAAAAAAAGGGGAAGTGTTCATCTCCATGGACCCAACCAATCAACACTACAAGAATTCAGTTTTCTGCCCAAGACTCTGTTAATTGAGAAATTAATCTCAAAAAGAGCTCAAAGTATTCCTGCTAAATTTTTGGAGTCGTTAAGACAAATTGTCCTCATTTGTAGCTAAAGAGGGAATTTGAGCCTGAACTTCAGCATCGCTACAGAGGAAAAAATGGCTGTAGTTTAATTCTAGTGCCAGTATTATGGTGTGTTTCTTTGGAATCTGCAATGCAAAATGTTGATCAGAAAGGTGGAGGGAGTTTGAGATGGCAGTTCTATCTGAATATTTTAATTCTTTGCGAAATATAATCCGACAGGTAGGACCAGGATGGTCTCTATGAGAAGAAAGGTGGCTGGCATATAGATAATAAAATTAAATAAATGCCCCAGGCAACAGTTCAGGTCTGGTCTGCCTTCCCCTGTTGTGCCTTGCCAGCAGTGAAGGGCTCCCATGTCAATGGGAGGGTTAAACCGGCCCTGATCTTGGCCTGAACTCTGAAGGACCCATCCCTGGTCCTCGGCCTTACCTTCAGCACCCCGGATAGCTCTTTCAAGAGTCCTGTGGTTGCTTTTATAATCATCCTGGAATAAGCCTCTACCTCAGCTAAGGTTTTCAAAGCTAAAGCTTGATCATGTTTGTTCTGGCAACATCAATAATTAAAATAAAATAAAATGCATCCACTCAGGATGATAAAAGAGTCTGGTGGCACCTTGACGTTTTATTCGGCATCAATGTGCATGGGTTGCAGCTGACCTTTTCAGAGGGTTGCATGTGGTGACCCTCGGGCTACAGCTGCAAAAGTTGGTTCCTAGTAAAATGTTGTTGTTGTTGTTCATTATTATTATTATTATT